TAATAATCAACCGGTTCAATCTGCTGACCAATCTTTACAATTTAATCAGCTTTATCAATCACAGATGAATTTTTGTCCAGGTAATAATCAATTATGTTTTCAATTAAAAGCCCAAATAAATAATAATTTTGCCATATTAAATTATACACAATTCCATTGTTTTTGTTTATTATCTATGTAGTTTATATTTTAATTTATATATATATATATATATCTATACCTATATACTTATAACTTATTAGGTATACCTATACCTACCTAGTAGGAGTATTTTTAAATATTTGGAATTTTTCTAACAAATTATACTTATTAGTTAAAATTTGACTTGTTTACATTTATTTGTTGATTATAAATTTTGATTTTATAGAACCTTCTTATTATTTGAAACGCTTAACCTCAATAATTACAACTCCAATGGATGTTAAAAGACGAAGACCAATTATTATTGATGGCTTAAATATTGGTTACTCGTAAGTTTTTTCTTCATACAGCTATAAATGTATCACTGATTATTGTTCCTATTTAAAGTTTTGTTTTTATCATATTCAGGCACATATTTAACTAAGAATATTACTTTTTAATAATATTACTTATAAACTTATAATGTAAATAAATTATGGTTTTGCTGTTTATACATTTAGCCATGGTCTCCATAAGAAATTTTCTGCAAGAGGCATTCTTTTATGTGCACAGTTTTTTATGTATCAAGGATTTGAATCCGTGGAAGTTATGTTACCTGTTCATTATAGAGGAGCTCCTGGAACAGAAACTTATACGGTTTTAAGTATGYTAATGAACATTGGTAGAATTCATTTTACACCCAGTAGAAAAATTCAAAACGTTCGTCTAACATGCTACAGTGATCGGTAATCTTATTTGTTATTTGTTATTATACATACCTATGATTATTTTAGATTTTATTGTTTAATGTCATTAGTTATTAATTATTATGAATACAATATGAAAATCTGTCTGGTATAGTGATATATATCCCTAACTAAAATAACTATTTCACTAAAAAACTAATTTAGAACAATTTTATTCCTACTTTTTGAATGTAGCCAGGATTTATTTTATGAATATGTTACATACTAACTATGCGTATTATAGAAATAACTTACTAAAACCTTTAGTTCCATTTCTCATTTGAAAGAAATTAGTACCTACCAATTCTATGAAGAAATTGTATTACCTATTATTGTGCATTTGTAGATAACTATATTCTTAAAAACTTTAGTAGGTATAGCATTATGTATTAGCATTTATAATGCTTTACATTTTATAACCATAAAAAGGATGAAAATYATACTTCTTTCTATATTTTTTTGTTGTTTTTATTGTCTAGGTTAATTATTAGTATAAGCTATATAATAAGGGCTGTCACTACCTTTTGTGAGGCCCTGGAAAAAACTTATTTAACCAATCAATAACCATAGTCTCCCATAGCTTATAATATAAAATTTATTTCAAAGCAAATTTTAAGCACAAGGCCCTTGAATGTGCGAGGTCCTAGACAAATTCCCCACTTTGCCCCCTTTAACGCCAGCCCTGTATATTATATTAGTATAGTAGCAGTGGAACAAACAGGAATTTTCATTGGGGGGAGAAGGATACCTATATATTCATTATTTATGAGATGAATAAATTGTATGGTTGTGCCCCTGCACTAATATTATGTATATATGAATAAAATAAAAAGGCATGGGAGAAATTCATTCTCTTGATTACACCTATACGATAGTAGTTGTAGCTTTGCCATACTTTATGTCTTGACATCACAATGAAAAACCAGGTTAGGCGGATAAAAACTTCTGACTACTTATATTTCCTCAATATGACAATATATAATAAAATAAGTATTAACAGTATTTACATTTTAATACAATAGTRTATTAGAAAAGTAACATATTATTATTATTAATGTTTTCTTTCTAATAAGTAAGGTTTTAGCATTGAGTATAGATAGTGTATCTATACTCAATATGGGTTTTAGCTTTATTAACTTTTATTTTAAAATAAACATCTACAACACGATCTTAAACTGTTCAGATATTTGTTAAATATATTATTTTTAAGTTTTAAAATGAATTCATTATAAAAGAAAAATACATTTTATTACCTTTATTTTTTTTTACTATAATTTATTTGTTTGTTTATTTTTCTTAGAATTATACTTGATTATGCCTATATATGTGGTGGAGTTGTGGTATCAAATGATAATTTTCGAGATATTTACAACGAAAGTGAACATTATAAAGAAATAATTGAGAATAGGTAAGTTATATAGGTATAGTATATTATCTTGGATATAATTATTTAACAATTATATATTTAATGTTTAAATAAATTCATGCGAATTTAAATTAATTCTTTAAAAAAATATTTTAACTCTGAAAAACATAGTGTTAATAAAGGGGTTTATATTGATGTGTAGCTAGGTATTAAATAATTTTTGTGTCTAATAATACATACTTATAATATATAGGATCTTAGGTAGGTAGTGAATCTTCAGGAATAGGTGCCACACCTATATTCATAAGAAAATAAGCATTTTAATGATGTGTCGTGTAAGATGTAACTCTTATCTCAAATCTTAGTGGACCAAATTCTTTGGCCTTAAATTATACCGAAAATTTCTTGATGTTCTATCGTTATTTTTTCAGTTATTCAAAATGTAAGAATATATATAGAAGTAAMTATTATCTTTGATGTGCAATTTAAATTTGACAGTTAGAATATGATGATGGATTTTGATGTGTAGCATATATAGGCAGAGCCGTTGGAAGTAGGTACTGTAGTAAATCCTCAACCATTTGATAAATAATAAATTATAAACAATTATATTTGTCTTGTTCATAGAGCTCATTTATCACTAGATATATAGCCAATTTTTCAGTTTATCTATAATATTAATAATACCTATTTTGTTGTTAGTTGTATGAATATTTTTACTTGCATTTATGTATGTTATTAATCCATTTTGTTCCATACATTTTTAGACACTTGATGTATATGTTCATTGGTGATGATATCTTTTTTCCAAAGGATCAGTATGGTCACCTTCGTCCAAATTTGTATGCTTTTGATATTGTGCATTTTCCAGCTTAAATTTAAATATATAGGTATACTATTATACTAAGTATATACTTGCTAGTAAGTAGTATTATTTGAGTTAAAATAATATAATTGTTATTCATACAAAGTGTTTTTTTTTTTGCAAGAAAGTTTTACCTCAATTTACAATAATGAAATTACAATTATACAAAATATGTATTATTTTATAAATTTAGTTATAAATCACATATATGTAACATTAATTACAGATAATTAACTGAAAAAAAAATGAATTTTGTTCATCCAAGTTTTTAATACTAAAAATAATATCTCATGTCCAAATTGAAATACATTTTTTCTATAAAAAAAACTGATGATAATTTTTTTTATGGACAACAAAGTATTATCTCAATTAAAAATAAATTATTTGTTATATAAGATTAAATTATTATATATAGTAGGGGTCGGCAACCTTTTTAATGTCATGGGCATAAAAAATAAAGTTATAAAGTTTTTCAACCTTATTTTATTTAAAAAATAATCATATCAAATTTGGTTTATTTAAGTTTATTACTGCTTTGGTTTTTAATTAAACAAATTATTATCTATTATTATCTATTAATAAAAMACATTTAATCCATAATTTATAATCTATTCTACTATCTTAGTTTGTGATTTTTGTACAAATTATAAATTTTACTCGAGAGCCACAAATTATTACAATGGCCACATATGTGGCCCATGGGTTGCCAACCTCTGATTTAAAGGATAATTTATAATATTATAAGTAGGTACTAAAAATTTTTATACATGTAAATACCTGTGTAACAACCATGTGCTATAAAATAGGGTAACCTTGGACTTAATTTACTATTTTTTTTTTTTACAAATCAGTTTTGATTTATAAGAATAAAGTTTTTGAATATAAATTGTTGAAAGTATGAATGTAATTTGGAGGTAGGTAATGATAACGACAAATGTAGTTTTTTTTCGTTTGAAATATTTACTTATAATATTTTATAAGCATGTTCCCAATTTATTAATTATCTTATTAGAAACAACCAATATAAATTATTAGGTATACTCGTAAAAACTGTTTTGTTTGATTTTATTCCATAAGTTACCTCATTTATAATGGTATGTTAATATAATTGCTCCTGGAAAAGTATTAATCATACTGTCAACAATAGTTGTGTTTTTATCCTTAAAATATTTTGT